CTCAAATAGATCAGATAACCCCAAAACCCCAAAACCCCACTCAAGTATTTATTGAGAGTAAAGGTTATAAAAAAGATATTTAATGAATGATCATGGATTAGTATCATCATTCTTATTTTTCTTCTTTTTGAGATTTGAAGTGCTAAACAAAGTCTACTTAAAATCCACAATGGAATTGTTAATGTTTAGAGTGACATTTTTCTCAGGACTTTTATCTGGAGTGAATCCACTGTGAGCCCAAATATGCATTGTTCTCTTTAGCTATTCTTTCTCAAAGTTAAGCTTTACACAATTCTCACTATAATTATGTTATGTTTAAAATGTCTAAGATTTTACTATCTTTTTTGGATAATCTCCTTTTCTCTTTCTTTTACTTGTTCAATAATCTGCTCAACACTTTTCTCCTTTTCAATTATCTCCATTTTCTTCTTGAACTCTAGCCTCTTCATTCTAAGTCTAATCTTTTTCATATCTTCCTCCTTAAGCTTTCTCTCTTCCTGCTTAAGCATAAGATTGTGCTTTTAATCGCTCAAGAATTCTTTAACAGCTTTTTCGGATCTATTCAATTTCTAGAGCATGTGATCGAGTTTTCTTTATCTATTATATTCTTCATCAGCCTTACGAGAAGTTTGATTATCAAAAATTTCTTTTCTTTTGTTCTTTTGAGCATTCATCACCTTGTTAATGTCTCGTTAGAGTGATTAGAATCTCTTAAAGTTTTTTAGTTCTTTTTCTGTAAAACTCTAGATTAAGTTGTCCCATTCATTAGTATTTTTTTCTCTAACTTTTAATCTTCTTCCCATCATATCTTCATTTTTTTCATGAAGTCTCGTGACTTTTTCCTCAATAGTTTGTCTAAACTTTTCCTCCCCTCTGTTTATTCTAGTTTCTAAGCTCATCAATCTAACGACTAATTCCTATTTCTCTTCGAATTCTTAATCAATACTCATTTTCATCAGCTAGTCTCGCTTTTACTTGTATTGTAGTTCTCTTTGTCTTTGTTCATGATACTTTCTATCCTCAAGTTCCTTAAGTCTCTTCTCAAGCTCAGCTTGCTCCTTCATTAGTCTACCATTCTCTCTTTCAGTAAATTGCTTAGCTTTGAATTCCATTTCCTTCTTGATTAATTGTATCTTTTCATCTCTCTTCTTAGATGTATTTAAGCTATGGGTAATATGCTTCTGCTTTGTTAAATCCTTGAACTATTTCTCAGCCTTAGTTAGTTTATCTCCAAGCTACTTGAGCTTCTCAACCCTCTCATACTCATCTTTCACCTTCAATAAAACAGACTATTGAGTCCTCTTTTAGCCTTTTTGCTGTCTGACCACTTCGAATTCAAATGAATCTTCCATTGGCATTCCTGTCATAAAGAATCCTGGACTATGAAAAGAATTAAGTTATATCTAATAATTATTATATAGGACTTACCTGGTCTTATTTAGAGTTGACTAAGGCATACTTCCAAACTAAGTTGAAGCATTTATGATGCTATTATTCATTGAAGTTATTCCACCAAGCTTCTCTTTGAGATTAGGGATCTGAAGTGAATTTATAGCTTTCTCATCAACTGACATTTTCGTAGGTTTTACTTGAATCGAAGTTAAAAAGATGTTACTTAGCCTTCTTTTTGGCTCCTACTGATTCTACTAACTCTGTGTCTGTGGAGATATAAATGTTGCCTTCTTTTTAAGACCATTAGGACTACTTGTGTTATTTCCCAATCTAATCTCTTCCCTCTAAATTTCCATTTCTACATTGATTAGTAAGGGGAAGTTAATGAATTATTTTTTTATTTGAGGATGTAAATGTAAATTACTTATTCTACGGCGTTCTTCTAATATACGGTTTAAGGTATCTATCAAACTGTACTGATGATGCTTAAATCTAAGATTTATGACATCCTCATCAAGACCTCTCTTTACAAAGTCTTCTCTCTCCCTAAATTTAGAGTAAGTTTCAGATTGATGGGAGAAATAAAAAAGTTAAAGGGTTTTTGGATTATTTTAATTTTTACTTTTTTATGCATTCTTCTTAAGATACACCTAGGTTGAACATAGCTTTTTTCATTCTAGGCGACTCAAAATCCAAATCAACTTTGTAAAGTTGCTTAATAGTCCTGATCTCCCTGATGTCATTTTTTATAATAACTGGCTATTTATCTGGATCATCAACCATTCCAAATCTATAATCTTTTTAACTTATTCTAAATTTAAGATTACTGATCAACTAAAATTTATATACCCAACATCATGGGGTTTTGGGGTTTTGGGGTTTTGGGG